ACATTAGACAGTCACAGTCCTGTCTCTGAGCAAGCTCTTTCACCTGATTCAGAGTCATTCGATTGGAAAGCTATTCAAGAAGGTGCAAATTCTATAGTTAGCAGTCTGCACCAAGCAGCTGCTAGTCTATCACGACAAGGTTCTTCCGACTCTGATTCAATCCTTTCTCTCAAGTCTGGTATCTCAATTGGGTCTCCCTTCCATATATCAATGGATCTTGAGGAAAAAAACACAACCACAACCAAAGGTCCCAGAATACTAAAGCCAGGAGAAAAGAGCTTACTGGAAACTAAAAAGAAGGAAGAACAACAAACTAAAAGCATTAAGGGGGGTAAGAAAGTTTACAAAAGCCTCATAACTGGGAAAGCACGAACAAGTCTTGATTGTGCATCCACTCAACAGAGGCAAAATGCCAGTCCTATGATTTCCCGTGGAAGAACAATGATTCATATTCCAGGGGTGAGGAGCAGCTCACCCAGCTCCAGTCCAGTTACAAAAAAGACACCACCTAAGGGAGCTACCTCAAAAGCATCTTCACAAGGTCAAAATTCTAGCAGCTCCTTGCGAAATGTGAAAACACCTACAAAGTCAGATTCTAGTCCTGTTACAAGGCAAACTAATTGCCAAGGAGGCCCAAGTAAGACCCCCACTCAGTCTGCTTCAAGAGACTCGATTCCTTCTAGACCTTCTCAGCAACCATTATCAAGATCTATGCAATTACCAGGTGGTACTTCTGTGTCACCTGGAAGAAATGGTATTAGTCCATCTAACAAGTTATCACAGTTACCCAGTACAATGTCCCCAAGCACATCTTCAACCAAGTCGCCTGGTTCTTCTAGAATTTCATATCCCTCCCCAGGAAGACACTTAGGTCAGCAATGTTCTGCAAAACAGAGTGGTTTGCCTCGGAGTGCTAGTGTTATTCCAAGAAGTGAGTCTGCTTCGAAAGGTCTGAATCAGTCTGGAGCAGCAGGCCCTTCAAAAAGAGCGGAACTTTCCAGGATGTCATCCACAAAGTCGAGTGGCAGTGAGTCGGATAGATCAGAAAAACCTGTGCTAGTTCGGCAGTCAACATTTATTAAGGAAGCCCCCAGCCCTACTCTAAAGAGAAAATTAGAAGAGTCTGCCTCTTTTGAATCTTTATCTCCATCTTCGAGCCAATCCCAATCTCACACACCAGTATCAAGTCCTTCTTTACCAGATATGTCTCTAACTTTGCCCTATCAAGGTAGTTGCTGGCAGAAGTCTCCACACGGAAACTCGTCTGAAAATGGTGATGGGAGATGTCTTAGAAGACATGACATTGCACGTTCCCATTCTGAGAGCCCCTCAAGACTCCCTATTAACAGATCTGGAACATGGAAGCGTGAACACAGCAAACATTCCTCCTCCCTTCCAAGAGTGAGCACATGGAAAAGAACAGGGAGCTCCTCATCCATCCTATCTGCGTCGTCAGAATCAAGTGAAAAGACAAGGAGTGAAGATGAAAAGCAAACTCTGAGCCCCCCTTATAAGACTTTACAAAATAGTGATGGTAATTTGGCCTTAAAAGGAACATTGAGGAAAATTAAGGAATGTAAGGTGGATAGTGGGCCTAAAGATAAATCTCTGGATGAAGATTCAAATTCAGAGGGGCATCAGATGGTTGCAGCAGTTTCGAAAAGTGAGGATGTATGGGTAAGAATTGAGGATTGCCCCATCAATAACCCCAGATCGGGGAAATCTCCGACTGGAAACGTAACACATACTAATTGTGTGCCTGGCAGCCTACTTGCCATAGATCCCGATGGGAATGACACACAGTCCAAACAGTTCACCAGCAGTGAAACCACACCTGCCCATACTGTGAGTCTCGAAAGGCCAGGCAGTCAGAGCGCAATGGCAGAGGCTCACGAGACTTCAACTGCCGAACGTACTCCTTTCGGCTCTTCAAATTCCAGCAAGCACAGCTCTCCGAGCGGCACTGTGGCAGCGAGGGTGACCCCTTTCAATTATAATCCTAGTCCTAGAAAGAGCAGTGCTGATGGCGCCACACATCGGCCATCGCAGATCCCAGGGCCGGTGAACAGTGGCTCTAAGAAGAGAGACTCCAAAGGCGAGAATGCTGAGCCCAGCGGGTCATATATTGTCACATCTGTTTAAGACTGTGACTTGATCACATTATTGTCTCCAGAAAGAGCTGGTTCTACTTTGTCCGTTTCAAAGAAAGAAATCAGATATGTTTGTAAATTAATCATGTATGCTGTTAAACCTGCTTTAACCACAAATGAGAGGATGAAAATTTGTAAATAGTTATTTTCCGTTGGTCACTGCAGGCTAACCCATATTTAAGGCACAGAGCCTGGTGGAAATGTGACACTTTATTGGGGGATATTTCGTTTGACACGTATCAGAGTATTGTAATTTGTACTGTACAGTTTTTGATTTTGCATTTAATTTAAATCCCTTATGTTTTGCCTGTCTGAATCCTGAAACATTATGGATGAGGTATCACTTTCTGGACTCGGGAACTAATCTGATTTTGAAAATTAGTAATTTATCCACAAACAGCTATAGCTATCAATTTTAAAATAGCCCTTTTCTATATTGCATGAATTTAACTTTTATTTTCTTTCCTCAACAACCAATTTGTCTGTGTATAGGTAGCTGTAGTGTAACCATTTACACTATCTGTGTTCTCTGAAAGTATGGAATTGCACCCTTAAGATTTTACCAGAAAGTAGAACACTTGCTATGCTGTTAACTTGTATATGCTGTAATTCAAGGTAAAAAATTAAATCTTAATGAGGATTTAGTCTCAGGACTAGATGAACATTTCAAGAATAAATTATTGCAGTAGGTTTTGGTGTTGGTCTGATTTTTAAAAGCCGTTTCCGCCTTTGTCACTGTTTTGTTACAGCACATTACCCCAGAAAATGCATTGTGATTTGCCAAAAAGAATACCTTATGTGAGTAAAATTGTTCACTTTTTTATTTTATGGAATACCGTGGATGGTTTGTTATTTAAGAAGTAGTGCAAATTGTAAAGCCACATAATAAACACTAAGATTTTTGTTGCAAAGCTGGCTGGTGTGAATTGTCGACTGGAATGAGCCCACTTTGTTTAAGAAAGCAATCAAACATTTTTAGGGGAATAATTGGAATTATAGTCATTCGTAGTTGCAACATATACAAATTAACTTCTGTGTTTCATATTTGACCTGTGATTCATGTATCGTGTTAATGTGTTTTTGCAAGGCATCATACTGTTAAATTAACAGTAGTTGACTGTTGACTTATATCCATTCTTATTTTTTGTATCAATATTCTGAAATAACAATAGAATTGATATTCAAAGGCAGAATTGAAACAGCATAAAATCAAAGGCATAGATTTGGGTATGGAGAGTGGGACGTGTCCCTACCAATCCTAAGGGATTATTGTGTATGTGTAGGGGACAAGGAGTTCAGGGCTGATTTGGTGCCTACCGAAACCAAACCTATTCCCTTGCGTAAAATGCTCAAAATAACTGACCTTGCATATTATATTTGCCTCCCAATTGTTTAGAATATTGTGCAGCTCAATAGGTTAGGATTATGGACTTTACTCTCCCATCCAAGATATTCATCATCTCACTGCTGGGCCATTGAGAGAAGTCCTTAACCCCAGCTACTGTAAGGGGTTCTGGATGCTGGCTGACCCTGCTCTCTGACCCAAGGGTTTTATTTACATGTCGCTTTGAAGGGGGGTGGAGATATCTGCTAAATATACATGCACTAGCTGTTCATTTAATGCAGATAAAGTCCCAGATAACACGGTAGTTTCACATTTTCACAAGTTTCATTGGCATGTTTGGAGGAACACTGTGATATTCTTATCACAGTTGCACAGGGATGGGTGTGTGAGCACAATGCAAGATAATTGCAATGACAAGAAGTAGTTGTTGCAGTGGCATAGTGAAGTATTCATAATGTGCACAAGTAGAATATTAACATGTATGAAACAATGCAAAACGAAATTAAGATATTTTTGTAATTTGTACAAGTAGAGGTACATTGGAATACTTTTCGCATATCCTATCTTGCTCTTCTTTTTTGGAGTACACACAAATACAGGTGAGAATGAAACCTGTGGTCTGAGCGGAGGGTCAGCCATTTATCTGGCGCCCCTGCATCACTTTTCAGGGGCCTTGCTCAAGGGCCCAATGGTGTCCTCACTGCTTGCCCTGGAATTCAGATGGGGTGGACAGATGCATGTCATTGGTTACTAAGCAATCTGCTAGTGCATTTCAGCTTGTGTACCATTTGAACCTTGGTTCAACTGTTCCTTTGATTGGTATACCATTCTGCTACCTCGGGACAGGCTGGCAGTGGAATCCAGATATCTGAGTACCTTTCATAGGCTTAGGATGGGTATCTGCTCTAAATGCGCATTCATTAACAGCTGTCAGGAGCACCCCACCTGACCTTGCAGTCGTGGCTGTTACCCTAATTCTGCCCTACAAAGGATAAACAATAAGTAGGGAATTTAGTGTACTTATTCAAAACCGAGTGGAACTACGACAATTTGTCACCAGATAATACGGAGACGCAATGCGTTTCTTTTTTTTCCCCTCACACCCTCTTCTCCTTGCTCTGTTCTTTTTTTAGTGTACTGTGTGCATTTCTGCTACTGTACTACTGCAAAATGGACAATGTGTAAGGATTGACGGGCCATTTATGAATTTTAGGTCCTTGCTGTCTTAAGATGCTAATTTGTTGGGCCCTTGAGCAAGGCCCTTGCCCTGCAATTTCTTCATCCTGGGTATGATGTTAATCTACATCCAGCCCTGTAAGGAGGTCCTCCAACTTACAGGGAAAAACTAGGGGGGATTGGCACTCCAGCCCATGGAAAAAAAACTCACACTGTTCCATTTGGACTAATGTGGTGCTGAGGTATTGCCTGCCACATGGCTGCACTCAGGTTCTCATCAACGCACTGTGGCAACGCACTGTAATCAGCACATGCTCCTTACCTCTCTCTCTCTTTCTTCAGCTGACCCCTTGTACAAATTGGTAGATACTGCTTCTAGCTTATGTTTTCAGTTTATTCTGCTTCCTGTGGGCTGCAAGACCAGACTGATGAGCGTTTCACTTCTCATTTTCACTTTGTAGCCAAACAGTCCCACAGTTCACTACAGAGAGAGAGCCTAACAAGGTATGGTGGAAAACATAAATCAATTTTCGACTTTAAAAGCAGTATGTGACTTCATTGTAATTAAGACTACTGAAAAAATCGATTTCTGGTTTGCTCTGAAACTGTCCAGAACAGGAATTTCCTGAGGTAGCCATGCATACATCGAAATTTAATTGAGCCCTGTTTGAAAGCAGTTGTGGTGAGTCCTTAGTTTTCCTATCTCTTTGAGCTACAGAATGGTAAATGGACTGCATTTATATAGCGCTTTTCTACTCTTACGAGTACTCAAAGCGCTTTACAATTTATGCCTCACATTCACCCATCCACACACGCGGTGGTGGAGGCTGCCATGCAAGGTGCCAACCTGCACACCGAGAGCAATTTGGGGTTCAGTGTCTTGCTCAAGGACACTTTGATGGGGTCAGAAGAAACCAGGGCTCGAACCTGCAACCTTCCAGTTGCCGAACGATAGCACTACCTCCTGCGCCACCATCATCTTCTTCATAGTAAGATCTTATAGATAGTGTGCATGATATCCGATCACTCTATTGATCTTAATATATATATTAAAAAAAATTAGTTATGAGTTGTCCAAAAAGCTGGTGTGATCCTATCCCTGTATTACTAATATTATATTTGTATGCATGTGTGTAGATTTTTTACAGTGAGTATGTGTATATATTTATATAAACTTGACAAACAGAATGGTTCTGTTATATATATATATATATATATATTAGTGCTGTCAATCGATTAAAAAAAATTAACTAATTAATCGCACAATTTTTTGCAATTAATCGCGATTAATCACAATTAAAAGACTGAAACTTTTTGGATATGTAAATGTAAATACTTAATGTAAACTCAAGACAATGAAACTATTTAAATTCAAATATGATTGTTTATTGGAATTTTTGTTTAACTCTTTCACTGTCGCCGCCTAGTGGTTCGGACTCATACGTCCGAAATTTCAATAACAAAAAAAAATGACGTTCAATAAAAGAAACAAATGTATCAAATCAACCAAAAACGGCTTGTTACACTACAAAAAACCTTTCAGATAATATCTGTAGAAAGTTGCGCAATTTTTGTGCCATGGTTTTTTTGTAACAAGTAAAAATAAAATGACCATGGTAGCCATCTTTAAACGGGTCGAGTGTCAGGAAGTAAAATATAAGTGTTAATAAAATGAAAACTAAGTACTTCAAACTATTTCTTTCACGGCCAATAATTCATAAACCGTCACAGTATTAAGACAAAACAC